ATTAGAAAGGGTGCAACCTTAAATAGAACTTAATTTGTTGCAAAAATCTTCAAAATTTTGATCTTGTTCCATCAAACTTCTTATATATACTAATCCTTATCTCCCTTATACTTATAGGAGCATAATTTTGTGAATTTGATTGTGAGGCTGATCTACTTCTTTCTTTCAACTATACAACTTTTTGGCATAGATTATAGACTTCTTCCATAGGTGTAGGAATTGTGCTTCTATGGTTGGCATTGGTGATGCATGAAATTTCTATCTTAAGAGTGTTGATAAACTCATGAAGATATGTAACAGTTGCAAATATGTTTTCACTTCTGTTAAGTATAACATCCATGATTTTTCTTTCTATTTCAAATAATTTAATAAATCTATAAGTCAAATTATAAGAAGATAATGTGCAATCTCTAATGTCAAATAAAAATTTCCACAAAAAAGGGTGATGTTTTTTTTTTTTTTTAAATAGTATTAAAAAATTAAATAGTTTGTTTAAAGATGGATAGTTTATAATCTTCAAAATACAACAATAGAAGTGAGGTAACCCATTCACTTCTAAAACAAGACAAGAACAATAAATTAGTAATCTTGTTAAATTTTTAAGTACATAAATCTCAAAAAAAGAAAATTCGATATAGTCTTCTTTTGCTTAAAAAGATTAGAAAGTCACTCAAAAATAATAATATATTGAACTAAAATGCTTATTGGTAAAGACAAGAAGACTAGAAAGTCTTCAAACAAGCCTAAAGACTAAAAAGATGTTAATAAGAATAAAAAAAGGCTTTATTCTTGCCTCTATATATATTATCTAACTAAGAGCTACATGGCGATGTTCTATAAGACCTCTGCTACATATTGACTTTGCAAGAGATATATCTTAACTTATAAGGCAAATTTTCTATATGTGTACTGCATAATTAGTTTGTTCTACAAGCTACCAATATATGTGATAGGTGGTTAACTTATTGATAAAGTTTCTAACCTACCAATCAACTACAAACATGCGTAAAGTCAAAATTAAATCCATAAAGCTTCTAAAAAGCTTTTTTAGAATATATTATGAGATTGATCTATTTTTAGCTACTTCTATATAATCATATAGATAATTATTGAGATAAATAGATATGTTTGTAAGACATATTATATTATATTGATACTTTTGTAAAGAAGAAGGTTGAATTTTGGAAATGTTAAATTATTCACTTTTTAATGGTTTTTAATTTTGAAATTAACTTTATTTTACAATCCTATATCATGAAAATTAAGTTATACTTATAGATAAAAATTTGCATACTTTATTCTATGTATCTTATCAATCTTTATAATCTCTCATAGGAATTTTTTTTAAATTACATGTACTTACATCACCGTGTGATAGATTCTCTATCACATCAAGATATGAAGGTTTGTGGATATAACCTTTTTATTTTTTTTTAATATGTTGATTATATGTTGATTATTTGAATATATTGATTATATGTTGATTATTTGAATATTTTGATTATATTTATTTTAGAAGGATTTTATATATTTTCATATGTATGAATTTTAGCTTTTAATAATAAAGATATTTTTAATATAGTTTATGTTTTTTTTTGAATTCTTGCATTTTATAACCAAAAAGACTAAGGCACAATATTTGAGTTCTATGACTCACCTATTCTTGTTTATAAGATGTGTTTCTTTGTAACATCACATCTTTAGACAAAAAGATGCTTTTATATTTTCACCTTAAAAGTTAACCTCTTCATTTGATATAATTTTTTGTTCATGATTGTATTATAGCTTTATACAAGGAGGATTTGAATTTAAAGATTAACTCATTTGTACTATTGGACAATGTAAGACTTGTATTTAATAGATATATTTATTTTCCATCAATAAGATGTCAAGGAAAAGAATTTAATGAATAAAAATAAACAAATGAGATATTTTTCAAAAAAAATAATAATAAATAAATAAATATGTACATTCAAGAAGAAACTAAAATGACTATTGCCAAAAGATAAGAAAATTAAAGACCCTTGAAACTAGACTAGAAGAAAGAAAAGAATTGACGAGAGTGAGGAATGTCTCACTTTTCATCCTATATATTCAATCTTACTAAGAGATTTGTAGTGATATTCTATAAGACCTCTAATACATAACTAATTTGTAAGATATGTGTTTAATTTGTAAGATAAGCTTCCTTTATGTGCACCACATATTCAACTTGTACTATAAGTCACCAACATGTGTGATATATAGCCATCTTATTGACAAATTTTTTAACTTACCAATCACTCATACATAGAAAAACAAAGTTACATCTATAAAGCTTTTAAGAAGCTTTTCTATAAGATTTTAACAAATTTATCTATTTTTATTTATTTCTATATACTCATATTATTTAAATAATTATTAGAATAAATATAGATATTTGTAATATAAAATGGATACAATAATTTGAAATATATATTTTTTTTATTTTGGCATCAACTATTGAATGCAATAAGATTATGGCCAACAAAACAATTGAGAGCGATTATGTTTCAAAGTATATTTCAATTGTGGTGGCTATATTGATACTTTTTTTTTAGTTGCAATTATTTTTTTTTTCATATTAAAACAATGCAAGTGAAGATTAAAGTTAGATTTTTCTATCATACAAAAAAAAATCTCTACACAAAGCCATCTTTCTTTGAATATTTGCAAATCCATCTTCTTAATATAAGAATGTATCTATCAACCTTTTGTAATATTATAGTATATTTGAAGTTTATATAAAAGTCTATGTATGCAAATAAGTCTAAATTTTCAAATAAATATAGATATTTATAAATTTATTCAAGAATCAAAAGAAAACATCTTGCACAATTATGATTATGAATTCTCTTTTACATCACTTAACAACCTCATTTTTCACCACATGTATATGAGCTAGTCTCTTTATTAAATAAGCATCTCTATATAGCCATTATATATTTTATTATATATGTAATGTACTTGTAAATAATTGTGAAAGCAAAATAATTTGAATAAGATAAATGAACACATTGTAGTTGAGTTCTTTGCAATTTTTGCAAAGCGAGATATGTGATGCCGCTTCAAAAACTTCAAGTTGTGAGGATGTACAATGTATAGATAATTCAGCACTAAATTCTCTTATTCAATTAAGTGCTCTACGTAGTTGGCCCTTTAGACAACAAACTACTAGATTTTCTAACCTCACAATTGTCAATACAAGCTCTAATAGTTGATCATGCACTCTTTCTTGTTGGTAGAGAGAAGATGGAAGGAGCAATTGAAAATGTTTGACCAACAATATTAAAGATAAGGTGAAAATCTTTGGAAGATGAAAATTCATTTTATGGTAGTAATGGATAAATTAAAGCATCAATATTCACCAAATAATATTGAAGATAAAAATCTTCTTCTATTAAAATGCTTCTACTATGTAGCATACTTTGAATTGCATGCTTATATGGCATTTTCAAAGTCTTTGTTAATGTGTATGTATAGGAATTAACATCAAATAGTTCTTTTGTATATTTAAACTGCTTAAAGATAAGGTTGAATGCATACATAGATACTCATTTCACAACACTTGTGAAATAAAAAATAGTATGTTGATAACATATACAAGTTCTTTTTGAACTTTCTTGTGCACTAATCTTTCCTGTTGTATTCTTAAAAAAGGAAAAGAGACAAATTTGTAACTCCCATAAATCTTTAGTAGAAACTTTTAAATATGATTTGAGAGTTGAATGTTAACTTTTAATTCAAGATGTAGTTACAATTCCAAAATGAAGGTAATTATTTGTCCAAGCTTTAACAAAATGTATTTTTTGTGATATCTAAGTATTAAATTTAACACTTAATAGTTACATGGGTGGTTGTAGAAGGATATTTCACTCTTTATTGTAAAGCACCTCAAAAAAAAAAAATTATCACATTGGTCCAATTTGCAAGAAATGAAGACCAACTTGCTTCCAACTTAGTGGCAAAATACTTCTTGCAATTTGTAAAGACGTTTTTTTGAATGTACCATATGCAAAGTAAGATATTACAAGTAGAAAAAAGATTTTCAATGGTATTTATTAATGCAAAATCTCAATAAGATCTAACACAAATAGATCAAATATTTCCATACAACAAAAGAATGATTTTGTTTTTCTTGGAAAAAAACAATAGCAACTATAAAAGATTAAAATTGGTCATTCCAATTATATATTATATAGGCATCTTGAATCAATTTGTTTTATCTATACAATCCATAATGATAGAAGAAGAATATTTTTTTTGCTAATTAAGCACATTTAGCATGTGTAAAAAAATAAAAATAAAATAAAATAAAATAAAATAAAAATTGTCATTACATTAATAAGTAAATTAATATGCACTATCACATAATGTTGCCATTTATTGAACAATAGAAGTAAAACCATCAAGAACAATGTAACACATTGTGTCACATTAGTATTCATTAAAAGTAATATGTGCAATAACTCAACTTTAAAAATTTCTCACCCTCAAGACAATCACAATGTTTTTTGATAGTATTGTTGTAAACATCCGAGTTATCTCTTTCTTTACTAGTTGAAGTCATTGTATAGTTGAAGTCATTGTACATTCAAATGTACTACAAATGTCCTCCAATGTTGAAGGATCGAAGGATCATGGTTGTGTTAACCATTTTGTACTATTAAGTGCTATTGTATACTAACTTGGAGACATCATGCATGCAATGCAAATAGATATCCAATCAATTGGCTTGCAATATTTTAGTGATGAATGAGATATTTAAGAGGAATCAGGAAGATCAGTCCTGTTCGCAAACCACCATTCGAAACCTCTTCAAACTTTATACAGTGAATACGTTGGACACTTAAGTTGCATTCAATGTATATAGAAGCTTGAACATGGAAAAAAGAAAGAAAGGAAATAAAAGCCACGATATAAAAGCCACGATATCTAATTAATAATAATATGGAACATCGAAGAATTAGTAGAATAACAAGTGGAGAAAGATATGATAATCATTGACCCACACCGACTGTGGAAACTGATTCAAGAGACTTGTCATGACCCAAAACCAATGGCCGGGCTTTTCAAAACAAGCAAATGTGAACACTATAGGCATTTCACAACCCCACCTCTAAGCTTTCATCGAGAAACAAACTGCTTGTAGCTCTTGAACACCATAATACGGAAAAGCCAACATTTCTAATCTAGGCTGTTATAAGAAATTCAATTCAGCAAAGCTAAGATAAGCGAGAAGAGCAAAAACCTCGATCCAAGAAGGGTCCAACTTCTACAAAATCACCTTGAATTTATGTCGTAGAAATACACATGGACAGCTGATAGTCAACAACGAGCTCTACATGTAGACTTGTGGGCTAAAAGCCTTGCACTTTTGTAACTGCAGAGTTGTCGAGCAGATTTACAAAACCTGCAGTCACCTACTTGGGCTTGAGTGAATAGATTCGAAACAACAGTCTATTAGTTTGACTGGAGAACAGACGCCACCTCTTCAGCAGCAAGTTTGAGAACAGGAGGAGGCATGTCTTTGCTATCTATGTGTGAAGCACAAAGTGATACACACCAGATTACAAAAAAAGAAACCATGGTCCCCAAGCTTGTGGTGCCCTGTTCACCCCCAAAAAACGTTAGCCGACTCGTTTGCCGCAAATGACCTCTACATGCGAGGAGAAGCAACATAAATACACCGAGAAGTACACATCTAACCAGTTGTAGTATGCCACTATGAGAAACCATCAAAAGCTGATTGATACTACAAATGCAGAGTTCACAGAAGTCTTACCTTTGGCTGTGTGACCTGGTTAGCAGCTGAGTAACTAGTTTCATCATCGTCACCTGCATGCTGCGCATACCGAGCAACTTGTCGTACAACTCCAGTGATGTATTCCTCTGATGTGTCCACAACCTCATTACTTTGGTCGAGAACAATTCGAGCCACGCTCCGAGAAATCGAGTTACGCTTGTAGCCATTGTCACTCACATTGGCTTCTTGCACTAATCTCTCAGCAGTGTTTAGAAGGTTCGTAGCTACCTCATTGAAGTTGTAAGACCTGCTTTTTCTCCACTTTACAATTGCTGTTTGTGAATTTATACCTGACGAAGACGAATTACTTTCGTCACTTGCAGTTTTCTTGTCTGCTGTAATCAGGGCCATTTCCTCTTCGTGATAGTAGGCCCCAGGACGTGAACTATCACTAACCCAGAAAGAATCGTCATTACTATTCGAAAGTGCTCTAATCATGACGTCTTTGCTTGAGAAAACCTCCGGATGTGTTTCCTTCGATTGGATACTATATTGCTGCCAAAATCGGCTCCACTAATTCATCAAACTCCTCAACTTGGACTTCGCTCTACCGTCATTACAAATTTTCTGCAAGTTCACAAGCTTCCATTACGTCAGGCCAGCACTATCTTAGTGGCATGGGAACCTTGGTAGTAGCGAATGTTCATACTCACAATAATTAGATAATTGAACTTACAAAACGAGTACGAAAACGCGCGACTAATTAGATTGAATCAGGAAAACTTTGTTAAACAAACCCTAACGAAATAGTTAAAACTTGATTAACCTCTCTATTCAATGAATTAGAAATGCGATTACATGCTATATCGATAAGTTTTGCAAATTGGACAATACAGCCTTCTTATCTAGATATAACAGTAGCCCTAAACATTCAAGGTTCTTGTAATGCTAGTCGCATGAGCAGTTTGAAGTTGTTAATGAGAGTCCAGATAATGGTTGAGGGATACAAATGACAATAAACACTACTTGCAAACAATCCGTTTTCGTCAAGTTGATGCTACACTACGATGAAATCGTTACAACTACTCAAACTATGAATCAAATACACGGCACCACTTGGTTATCCATTTGCACTATGTGTGCACACCCAATACTACATTGCGTTAACATACGACAAATCACCTCATCACTCCAGTGGGCAAGCCCAAAATCCTAAAAATTTCACAGAAAACAGCATCAATTTAACTCAAGTCCTTGATGAACCATAGACTCCAATGGATAAGACGAGGGACAGAACTCAGTATTACGACAATAACAGAAAGAAGCTAGATAGGGACAGGAACTCATTAATTTCCCATAATCAGTATATGAAGAAGATATATCCGACACAAATCTCCGAGCAATTGCAGCCGCTTTTACCAACGCACAATAAAATGTAATCCCTCATCAACGATGGCCGCTCAAAGATTCACCTATAAATCACTCTCAACCTCCGGTGCCCTCACTATACCACGCCTTCCTTTTGCCTCTAAGGCACTTGAACAACTGGCCGGAGCAGCGGCTACACGACGCCAACCTCAGACAACTAATCCTACAGAATCAACAGCTGGGCTCCTCTCAAACCTCGATGGTTATCGCATTGACGGCATCATCAGCAGCGTGGCCAAATCTGGTGCCTGTTGGACTGCGGGCTTCACATCTGTGAAATTGGACACACGCAGGACCGTAGTCAATGAGGGGTAGCCAAGTGGCATACCAATTGTACTCCTTAGTATATCTACATGCATCCCCAGTCTTGCACACATTCATCTCGCACGAAATTAGTAAGTGGGGCCACAGAGGCCCATTGGAGCTTGCTTGATCACACGGGGGTCTGCGTTTGCCGCCGCTTGGAAAAGTGTGCAACACCATAAACTCGCGGATCCATCAGGAGTTGCGGACGCATTTACGAAGCAATATCCGTCCCGATTACATTTGATCTGGTGGAGATGGCGGCAATCGTTGATACCGAACCGAAATCGCTCGAAGGTCAGCCAAAGGCGTAGTGGAAGGATAAAGCGCCGCCATGAGGGATTTCGTAGAGAATGTAGCGCGCTGCTCCTTTTCGATGACGAGGGGTCGAGGAAAGCAACCTACTTGTGGGACGTGTTCCAGAGGCAAGCGGGGTAAAGAGAGCAATTTATGGCCTGATAACGCAAACGCGAGCTGGTGAGCGTTATCGGGCCATAAAACCAGGCAGGTGGTGGCTAATAAAAGCAGCCAGGCTAATGAATGGAACATTTACGAGCATAAGAAATTGATTGAATTAGCATGATGAGGACTCGGAGGGCCAACCCCAGGAGAATAGGGCCCGGCTCGCTTCACACAGCAATGGACACCGAACCAATCTGGGTTGTTCTTCATCATCATCTTGTTGACGATGACGACGCGGAGAAAGTCCCTAATCTGGTGGCGGGCGCAGAGGGCGGCTGGCTGCGTTCCTATTTAAGCTGCGCTCCCTGTAGCGCTAGGCTCAAGCACCACCTCCGGAGTCCTAGCCTGGCACATCTCCCGAAGTTGATTAGCGCTGGTTTGGTTGGATGTCGGCACAGAGAGCACTTACGCTGGGTCTTTCCCAGTCCAACGGGCGTCGGGCGCAAGTGGTGGACTTGATGAGTGGCACTAAAGAAGACACGATTCATGTTAAGTTTTTTCCTGTTCCGTCATTTTATCTTTTTAATGGTTGCTTGTCGCCCTTCTGCTAGTACTTAGTTGTGGTGAAGAGTAATTGCAAGGCATGTCGCAGCCTACTGTTGGTACGTATGAACATGCACTCATTGATGTGTGAGCTGCCAGCTCCAGGTAGAAATTTCAGCTTCTGGCATCCGTGGCAGATCGAATGTGCGTCGATGGTTGCTCTCCTGGTCGCGGTTTAGCGAGGGCTGATGATTTTCGTCGCTGAGGGTTTCTTTTGATGATTGTAGTGCGGTGCGGAATGGTTGCTTGCGTCTATTCCCTTTGGTCGTGGAATTTGATGAACAGCCTCCGAAAGGGTGGACATTAGCGTCCCGTTTCGGCTCCTGGATTGCGGGACTCCGTGTTTGAGAGTTGTTGCTCATCTTTTCTTGCGACGAGCACATGATATTGACGTAATCTCAACTGAGCTACCAAGGGGTTGGAGATGGTTGAGGTGGATTGCGGTGTTGGAATTTGCTTACAGTTTGCTGGCTCTAAGAATCGAGCTGTCGGTTTTGGGAAATACAGGCCGACGCTGTAAAGGAATGGCCTCTTCAGCCCATTGTCTTGGTGTCTTGGGTTCAGTGGAGATGAGCTGCAGTGCTCCCTTTGCCTGTCAGGTTGTTGGCCAGCTAAATTGTCGTCGTAGGATTCGTCTGAGGGGACCAGAATCTTCTAGTGGATATTTAAGTTGGTACTGTGGCGCACTGCGCTAATTGCGTATTAGTAAATCATTTGTGGCACTGCACTTCTCCAACTATTACTGTCGAGTCGACCAATTTGGAGTTCTTGTGTTGGTTGGAACAGAGTAAGGACGCTTGAGGAATTCTCCAAGCTGGAAGCGAGGCGATCAAGCTGGGAATGGAAATGGGAGCCATCAATAGATTACACTAGTAAACGTTTCAGCGGTGCGAATAGCCGATGCCTCGGGTAAAGTGTGTAGTTCTTGAGAGGCGAAAGTGGCTCCACGCATTGCCGACTGAGTCGCCTTATCGACTCCGAAATGGCTCTTGAAGCCGAGCGGATAGGCAGATACGAGCGGCATCAGAGGAAGAAACATTTGGTTGCCGCTGCTCTGCCCAACACCTCTCTGTCGACCAAGTGCAGTCCGTCTGGGAATGTCCAATTCACTAACTGGGTTTCTAAGTCCATCCCATTGATCATTGGTCTACTCTCGACATGGTTATTTCAATACAGTCAGTCTCCTCATCCCGCGACTGTCGATGTCGACACATCTGCGGCGCTTAGCCAATTGGCATCACAAATTGCCGCAACCAATTCCCTTCCCTGCTCTGGCCATGGCTACATGGCAGACTTCGACACTGAGCGAAGTCTTGGCATTTGCAAGTGCTACGAGTGTTTCGGAGGCGTGGACTGCTCCCAGGTGATCGACAATTGTGTTATCGATCTGGACCAGTAAGCCATCTAAACCAGCCCAACCAGTCGTTCACTGAGTTGTACAGAATCTTCGTGCATGGTTCTTTTAATGAATAGGAGATGAAACTGAAGTATTCGTCTGTGCAGCGGGGATCCGACCATGTTCGAGGAGTTCTGGTTCCGAAACGCAGCTAACACTATCACCGTCATACTTGGTTACCAACGAATGAGTTACTTCGCACAAAGCAAGCATGTTTGGTTCATGGAGAACGAGCTGGAGGTCCAGATCCGGGAGTTGCACCGAGTGGTGGGAAACGCAGTCACTGAGGGCCGTCACATTGTGGTTGGCACAGGTTCCACCCAGCTCTTTCAAGCTACTCTATACGCTCTTACTTCGTCGGACCAATCCAAGCCAACGAACATTGTCTCCGCGGCTCCCTTCTACTCCGTAAGCTCCCCACCTGTCATCCCGTTGTATGCATTTAGCACAGTTCCGAGTCTAAGCTCTTGCTTCTAATGATTGCGAAGGTGACAAGTTCTAGTTGGCAGTCATACCCTGCAGTGACCGACTATCTGCGTTCCGCCTTATTCAAGTGGGCCGGCGATGCTGTGGAGTACAATCTCGGCGCAGAGCACGAAGAACCATACATTGAGATGGTGTGTTCTCCGAACAATCCAGATGGAAGGATACAGCATGCCGTTGTGAATGGGACGGGGCACGTCGTACACGACCTGGCGTATTACTGGCCGCATTACACGCCCATCACAGGAGCAGCCGACCATGCTATCATGCTCTTCACGCTCTCGAAGAGTACTGGGCATGCAGGAACTCGAATTGGGTGAGGATCACCTTCTTCGCTCTCATGGTATTGTCATGTCTTATTATGTCTCTCGCAGGCGAATTCGAAACCACGCACCCCCTGCTTCGGTTGTCTTAGTTGTGGATATGTGTATGCAGGTGGGCTATCTTGAAGGACGAGAGAGTGGCGAAGAAGATGACGAAGTTCTTGGAACTTAACACGATAGGCGTCTCTCATGATTCTCAAGTGCGTGCAACGCAGGTAATTAAGGCCGTAATTGAAGGATACACCTCGTCCGAGCCACAAAGTGGCAGTCCCCAAACCGTCGCTCAGCATTCGGACAACAACAAGCTGTTCCATTTTGGAAATTCCGTCATGCATTATCGGTGGAAACGACTGCGGGAGGCCCTGAATGGGTCCTCCGCGTTTTCTATCCCGGGTTTTCAGCCTTCTTACTGTACTTTCTTCCAGAAAGACATAGATCAAACTCCTGGTATGCACTCGCCTCTTTGTCGCTCGACTAGCAAAACTAACCTTACCTGCACATGAACGATTCTGAAGGTCATTTATCAAGGTCTATAACTCCTGGCGGTTGAAATGTGTACAGCATTTGCGTGGTTAAGGTGCAAAAAAACAGCAGATTGTCAAGCATTTCTAAAGGAGAGGCGGATTATCACACGAAGTGGTCGGCACTTTGGTGCTGGTGCAGAGTTTGTGCGCTTGAGCATGTTGGAGCGGAATCAGAAGTTTGAAATGCTAGTGGATCGGTTAGCAAGAGTCGAGGCTTCCAGAACCCCCGACTAGACAACAGTAATCAGTACCTCCCCGAACATTCAGTTTTGCTCCCATGCCTCGCTTGTTGGCCTTGCTTGGTTTTCGATGCCACTTGAGCTTCGTCTACCGCTTGAGAGTGTTTTGTGTTGTTTTTTTTTTTTTTTTTTTTTTTCCCCAATAGAAAGTCCTCATGTAGAAGACTCCAAATCTCGCAGTGGCCCCTGAGTGTCGGCTACCCAGAAGGTTTGTGACCGTTCTGCTATCAGGCGCATTGAGGAATACGTGAAGTTGTTTCGGTTGACGGTGGGGAGGCACAGAAGTTGTGGTATTAGGTGACGAGTGGATTGCAGTGACTTAAGCCATTTTTTTCTTTTGGAGTGTTGGCTCCTAATCTGAATTCCATCTGGGTTCCAAGCTTGGCACCAGAGGCAAGATGTATCTCTAGCATTGATGCAAGCAAACACCACAAATGTGAATCTTTTTTCTATTTGACATATCATCTCTTCTTCTCTACTCAGATTACAAATTCAAGTAGATAAACTCATACCACAACATTCTCTGCTACCACACATGCATATATATACATAGTTATATAGTTATACATCTGCGCACAATCATCTACTCACGCGAAAAAATCATCTATGTGGCGACTTTTGTGGGTAAGCGCATGAGCACCGAGAGACCAACAACCCACGCCGACCTTTGCAACGAACGCAGAGTTAGTCGCCAGTCCCTCGAGGCAGACGCAACACTGCAATCGCTAAGGCCGTGGCAACCCCGCGCAGACCAGAATGGGAACCCACTCAGACCCATCAGTCAAGGAAAAGGGAATAAGTAAGTGAGCACTTTTGTCTGATCGGTTCCTTGATCCCTTCGCACACGCCTTGGCTGCTGCGTCGTCGTCCTGAAGGGCAGATTCAGTGGTACCCGTTGCAGGTCTAAAAGCTTCGACTTGAGCCCTGATCTGATGATGATGCTGATGATTATGGAGTCAGGCCTCAGCAGCAACATTAACACAAGCTTCCAAAACTACTGCTACCTTCACATACACATTCACACACATACTTACATACTTACTCACTTTACCCACAATGGAACAAATCCCCGGGGGTAACGCTTTGTTGACATTGCAGGGGCAGAGGTGGTGATGAGCTACTCAATGCGCCATCGCCAGCTCCACTCCAGAAAATGATTGCCCTCTTTAGTGTTGCAAAGGTGGGGCCATTGCCCCAAGTTCCCCTCCAACCACCACCTTGGTGATCATCTTTCAATCATGGGGAGGACGAGTAGGGGGCACTGAGCAACATGGGACTCACTCCCTTTTCTCACCTGCACCTTCCCCTTTTTCCACATGTGCAATCCCTTTGGCCCACATGCCCATGTTCCTTTTCCCACATGCACACCCCTCGTCTTATGGTGAGGTAGATACTACCCTTCATGCCACGTCATGGACATAATAAAAATGTTTGTAATAGATATTTATTTAAATCAATAATTTGGGTGAAACCGTTTGTTTGCTGTGTTTTATATATATATAGAGAGAAAGAGAATGTTAAATAAACCCATATTTTTACTAAATTGATCCACCCATCCTAAGAAAAGAAAAATGACATGTAGATTCATTTCTCCATTACAAGATTTGAAACCAATGAAATCCAACCACATTCATCATGATTACCATATTCTTCATCAAGGGTAGATTGACTTAATACAAAACCTGGGTCTATTTAACATTCCCTTATATATATTGTTGTAAGTATTGTAGTGTGTGTAGCTCCACAAAGATGAATTTGAGTTAAGCTCAAAGGTATTAAGCATGATGAATCCAAGTAGAGATTCTAGAGTTTGATGTTGTATTGCACATGTGAAAGTTATTAGTGAGCCTAATCAATTGTGTATTAAAATCCAAATCCTCATTTTGATAGGTGTTTACTTCTACCATATAAATCATAGTCTTTGTTGTATATTGACCACTAATTGTTACAAAAACTAAATAAGCAAATAAAAATATCACCTTGTTTAGTGTCTCTTAAATTTACATATATGTATTTAAAAATAAAATAATATTAGACTAAATATTTGAAAATATATTTATTTTAAAAATAGAGTAATAAGTTTGATTTTAAGAATTAATTAAATCTGTTGTTTTAAATAATATTATTTTAATCTTAAAATACACATAAATATTGAAGTTACTTAAAACTATTTAGAACATATCTATTTATTTTTATTCTTTTGTATTTTATCTTTTTAAATAGATAATAAAGTAGGCATAAATACACAATTCTATATAAATATGTAATAAATAAATAAGAGAAATATTGATAAATATAAATAATTCGTATATATGTATGAATGTATATTTTTTATATATACTTATTATTTTTGAGAGTATTCCTAAGTTTTAGATACAACACATTAAAGTTAATTGTTGATGTAAAATAGTATACAATAAACTTATAAGTTATAATACAAACAAAATAACCAAAAATCAAACAAATAGAGTTTATTAATACCACACTAAAATCAAAAAAAATAATGATAAAAATGCATAAAAATTTAAAAGATTACATATAAAAATAAATAAACAATCATCATATATTATACAATTAACTAATAGAATAAATAAGAAATCATAATATTAAAGTTTTTTTTTCTTAATAATTTCATTTAATCATCAATACACACTATTTTTATTTTTAATTATTTTAAACAACTTTAAAGTCTTTTTAGGACTAATTAATATATTTTTAATTTCACTTCGTAATAAGAAAAAAAAATTATCAAAATACATATAAATATTTTATTCCAAAAACAATTAGGTACTTTAGTTATAAATAAAAATTAAAGAAAAAAATCAATATAAAGATTTAATGAACATTCTTTAACAACTGTAACCAAGCAAATATAATTAGAAAAAGAAATCAAGTAGCAATTGAAGGAATTATAAATTGACAATATAGCAACAAAGAATCTTCCACAAATGGTTGGTAGAAAGCTTTTTGCAAGGATTGCAAAAAATCTAGAAGTAGAATCTATAAAAGTAAAATTCTTTTTGTATTCTTATTTGATTCTACTGAGAACAAACAATATATATATATATATATATATATATATGTATAGCTCTCTTGCATGTAAACTTTTGACATCTATCTGTATACTCATTGTTTAACTTCCTTATTTTTATATTCTCAGAAGAGAATAACTTTAAAATGCATTTCATTTCTTTTTTAAACTTGTAATAAATCTCAAAAACCACTTAATTCAAAATTTCATAAAATCCAAAGTAAAATTAGTAATAGTCACAAGTTTATAGGATTGAATTTTGTGAATTTACGAATGCTTGTTTTATTAAATTACAACCTGACCTCATAATTTCTAAAAACTAGAAAGCTATTTTTATGAACTTTAAAAACACTTAGTTTTGTATGTGATGAGACAGATTAAATTAAAAGCTAAAAAATTGGTCACTCTTATTTAAATTAAAATATGAAATTTAATGATAACTTCTTACTCCACTGACTTGAGTAAAGTTTTAAGCCACAAATTGAATATGAGATTTATAGGGTAAAACACATTGACTTACTGATTAATTTAAATAGAATTGAGGATTGGTACAAGCATGTTTATACTTATCACACTAATGATTTATGCATCAAATACACATTAAAATTACTATACTTAATAAATTGAAAAGTTTAATAGAATTTGGAAAAGAAATAATTAACACTTGAAATACTAAATTATTTTTAACAAGTTTAATATGAATAATAAAAAAAAAAAAAATTATAGTAGAAATTATATATAAACATATATACCTAACTGCTTACGTTTTATAATTATCAGAAATTTTAATAATCTAATTTTTTTATATTATTTGTTGGGATTTTATTAAATCATTTATAAAGTTTATATTTTATTATGAATAAAAATATTCTATTTTTTCCAATACAATTTTTTTAACAAAATCATATTTATAAATACATATATACAAGTTATAAAGTCTACAAAATAAAATAATGTGATTGAAATTTGATGGTAATCTTTACACTTTTTTGATGTTTGTAAAATTAATAAATATTATTTTTTTTTTGTGAAATATTTTATAGCATATTAACCAATTCATTAAGTTATTATGCTTAAATAATATAAAATTATCTTAAACAAAAAATTCATAATATTTTTATTTTTTAATTTTATTGCAATCTAATCATTATACTTTTTATGTATATATAGAAATGTGAAAAATACAAGGTTTAAGAGACTCAAAAATCTATAATGTATTAAGCACATATGAGAGCAAAGATTGAAGACAATGAACATTATTCAATAGTCTTTATTATAATAAATAAGTATAAGTTTGACTCATATGTTAGAATTTAACAATATGATATAAAAAACACAAGATAGCCATAGTTATGCAAGATGCAAAATATGACAATATAGTCATAGTCATATAAAGATGAATAAGTAGAATTTAGTCACAAGTATATTTTAAATAAAAAGAAACTAAAAGGAAATCTATTATTCACTAAATATCATAAATATTTTTATTTTGTTTATATATCATAAAAATATCATAAATATTTTTTCACATTTTAACTATTTATTTATTATGTTGTCAAACCACAACTTTTTTTTATTTTTATAAAGGAAACTTTATACCTAAAAGCCCACTTTAAAAGGCTATGGTTTGAATGTCTCATCAAGATTCCTTGCTTTGTAAAGAAAAGACCTTGTTTGGAAGTATTGTCCTTTGGATATAGTATAAAGTGAGTAAAGACCATAAAACGGATCAAATCATTTTTTTATCACAATTCTAAATATGTTCGTTTTTATATTTATTTAAATAATCATAAGGCATTCAAATATAATTCTTCTAATCGTTGTCTTGAGTAATTCTTGACATGATTTCTTAATTTTTTCTAGAAATCACATTTTTAAGATAAGTCAATAGAAAATTTTAGAGGATAACACTATTTATTCTATATAGAAAAAAGTGCACTCCATCTTATTTTTTCTACTTAAATCCTTTGCATGTACTTTTAAAATTTTAAAGTCAACTTAAAAAGACCTTTGTGAATTCAACCAATAAAAACATTTAAAAGTTAAGGCATCTTAAGTAGTAAGAGTCTTTAAGTTATTTTATTAAATAAAAATTAAAATTAAATAATAATAATATTATTAAACAAAGATATTAAGTAATTATAATTTTATTTTCATAAATCTATAAAATTAAAAAAAAAAAATCAAGTAAATATAATAAATAGAGAATCTAAAGTAAATTAAGAAACTTGAAAGAGGCACCAAGAATGTTTTCTAAAAAATAGTATGAAAAAAAAGAAGTGATGATATAAAAGAAAATATCTAAATATTAATTTATTTTTATATTAAAAAATAAAAATATTTAAATTTGCATAAAATTTTATTACTTAAAGATATTAAATACTTAAGACCTTTTTTTTTATTAATGTCACAAATTTTATATTAAATTTTTAAAATTCATTGGAACCAAAAAAAAATTGTATTTATATAAGCCTATTAGTAGTTGTATTAAATATTTTTTAAATCAAAGAAAGAAAGTATAATATGTACATAGATTTTGGTACATTTGTAGAGATTCAAAAACTATAATAGTGCAACTACAATGTATTATTATTATTATTATTATTATTGGTGATAACGCATCCATATAACAAGTTAAATTTAACAAATAAAAAATTTTAATTGAACATTATAGATATTATAATATTATAACATTTGATATAAAAAATTAAAGATCATTATTTATTTTATAAATAAAAATATATAAATAATAAAATAAAATAAATATCAAGTTTATAAAATTAATAAGTAATGTGGAGAAATGTATACCTGGGATTATAAATGGTATTAGGTTTTTATGTTGTTAATATGAAATTCATCTTGACTTGGTTCTTTGAGGTGACACTTCTATAATTGCATTAACCAGATCCACGTCTATATATATATATATATATATATATTATAAAATCTGCACTCATTTAATTATTTTATTATATAAAGTATATTTTACTACATGATTATGTATTCAAGATTGTAAAAGATACTAAAGGTTTTCTAGCACTTTATAAATGATATTTTTGAATATTATTTATTAATATTTAAAAAAATATTATATATTATTTTTAAGTGAATAGAAGTTGAATATATATTGTGATAAAGTTTGAAATATTATGAAAAGAATTGATAAAATAAAAATTATGTCAAGTACCAAAAAAATAAAGATAGCTTTTTTAAATTTCTATCTATAGAAATTATACATAAAAAATTGGTGACTTTTATCATAATAAATAAATCAAGCATGAAACTTTTATATGATAAATTCTACACCAACCATGATTACAAGCTACATTAAAACAAAAAGACTAGAGCAAAAATAGACAACATTGAGAATTTAGTTTGCACATGTAATTTGGATGGAAAATTTTATTCAATATAAAAGTAGAAATCAAAAAGAAAAAAAGAAATTCCTTTAAACTAGACTTATTATACACTTATACTATTCTTATTTAATTATGGCAGCTAACCATCTTTGTTTATGTGGCTACTTCTTAATCTGCCTTGAATTGATTTAATCTTAATATTTGGATTTTAAGTAGATCTTAAGAATTGAGTTTTCTTTCAAAAATTTCATCTATATATATATATATATATATATATAAAATTTAGATATTATATTTATTTCTAAATATAATTATGATATAATTTTTAAAAATAAAATATTGAACCTAAAATAAGAAGGTTTTTAATTTTATTCTTTATAATATATATATATATATATATATATATACACAAGTTTGAAATTTAATATTTAATATTTTTTAAGTTATTAAATTAAAAACATAATGTATTTACACATATGATTTTTTCTTTGTTTCCTTTTTTTTCTTTTCATAGTACGATTGTTTATAAAATCAAAATAGATTTTGTCTAAGATGTTTTATTATATTTTTAAAAAAATAAAAAAAATAATGATTTTTAATCAATCACGTATATTAATATATATATATATATATATATATATATATATATATTACTGATTTATTAAAAATTAATAACTCATCTCAATGAAATGCTAAAACCTTTCTACATTAGATTCTTAAAAAAAATTTAAGACATTTTAAATACGTATTTTTAGGATTATATGTATATATAAAGCAAGTATTTGATTTTCATTGATGTTGCAAAACCTCACCTCGGCATTAGGAATGAGTGAATGCTTTCGTTTTCCCTTGAGGAAACTACCCCTACATAAAGTCCTTTGCCAGCCTCTTTTAATCTGCATGCATTATTCACTCATCCACAATCACATCCAACTCAAATAACAATTATGAAGAATTCGTCAAGTGGCACAAGTTGGATTCGGAAATATGTGCCACTTGATATCAACTATAACCAAATATTGACAAATTTTTATTTTATTTCCTTCTTCATAAAAAAAAACCAAAAAAACCAAAAAAACAAATTGTGCCCCTTACATTAAAAAAAAAATCCCTTAACTTCCGCCATTCTTTATATGTATACGCACACACATGTATGAATATATATATATATATGCACACACACAAAGAATATATATTCACACATCGGTGATGACGAGGCAGAAAGCGCGGCTGGAGTAGCCAGGTACTACAAACCAGAACCGACGCAGCAAAAGAGATAGAAATTCAACAATGTTGTAGAATCCGTAACAGTGTTGTAACATTGTTGCGGATTCTATAACAAAGCAAACATTTGTAAGAAATTCATGGTGATAGCATAACCCCCCAGTCTACGCTTCTGAATCAATAGCTGGATGTTCGTTTTCTATTATAAAATGTGTTGAATGATATGGTTTCAAGAGGTTATATTTGATGTTGATAACACAACTTGTCGATGCCATCTATGTTGCTAAGTGCCACAAAGGCATGTGCGGCATTAAAACCGAAGGAGCATTGCAGTGGCGGCGGAGCTAAGCGTATGTTCTCGGTGGTTGTTGGCGGACTAGGTTTGAGATTCAGGATGGGAGGATTTCAATCTGTTGCATTGCACCTGCCCTATTTAACATTCACAAGTGGATTCGCAGCGGTCTGATCAATCCGGAACTCGGCTGACGCCCAATAGAGGTCTGATCAATCTGGAACCTGGTGTAACACATTCCATACGGTCCCTGCAGTCTACTACGCCGAAGACTCCAATCTCCTCGTCACCGGAAGCTCTCCCTCCAAATGTGGTCGATCTGGATTCAAAACGAAGGCTTTCTCCGATGTCGACTAAGCTAATACCGACAGAGAACTACCCACTTCTAGAAAACCCGGTTTGCGGTTAAAAGTTTCTTCGAGATTCGTCGACAAAGACCCGGTCGATGTGAAGGAAAGCGGGAGGTGGCTCGTGATGGGGCACTGTACACAAGTTATCAGGAAATCAGAATGCCAGACACGTTGATAAGGGAAACCTGGACCAGATTGCATCGGACCATCTGTTGAACATGGGTCATTTGATCGTGGGACGTTTACAGAAAATTTCGGAAGCCCAGTGTGACAAGGATTAGCGTGTAGCAGATTGGTTTTTCTTCTCAATCTGTCTTCCGAGGCAACATTAGAAACATTTTTGTTTCTACATTAGTCCGCCGAACACTGCAATTATCTGGTACATTTTGAAGTATTCTGTGATTCAATGTTAGCTTCGGTGCAGCTCCACTTTCTGCTGTTTCCCTGTGTGAATGTTCCGAAATGCAAAATGAGATCAGTTTTCTTGAGTTTAACTCTTTTTTCTTTTTCTTTTTATTTTATTTAGTGCATCTGGCAGGAGATTGTGTGTTTCATATTTGTTAGTCAACTCTACATTCGACAAAATAATCACGACGAATTTATGTAATATTAGATATATTTACATTTGCTACTTGTGATTGAAATTATATATTGCATAACTTTACTTTGATGTGTACTGTGTATCTCTATAATGGATGTTTGTTATAGCCACTATTTTTAATACATAAAAATCAATATGTATTCATTTATTTACAAAGATTAAATTACATATATATGAATTGTTATTATATATGTGTGTGTATATATATATATATATATATATATTTATTTATTTATTTATTGTACATGTTTTAGAACACAGTTCTCTTAATTATTATTAATATTTTATGATATTAAATTATTTTCATTGTATTTTTTACAATGAAAATAGTACAAAATTCCGATGCTGTTCGGCGATTTGGTGATATTATTAGGCACAAAATCCTTACCGCGTGGGAATGGAAAAGCAACACCACCTCATTTAGAAAATCAAGGCTAAGCTAAAATTGAAGACTTAGGATCCATACTGCAGTCACTGAATGTGTGTTTGATTTCAATTTTGCATTTCCCCCGCCTTAGAACCCCAGAAACTATTGTATACACAACCAAAGGCTATATGTGGAACAAAAGACTGGCACGAGCCAGCACTACAGCTGAATTTGTAGGAGCCATGTGGGGAATTTGCACGTTGACACGCTCGGACTGCACGAGCCGGAACCAAGTTGGCGGTGTTGCGCGCTAAGTCTCGAGCTCTGATTTAGAACAACTGCACCACACAGTTTGTATTTAAATGTTTTTACCGATACATCTGAAGACCAGTGCAGGATCTGTCAAGACTATATGACAGCGTCCATGCACGTCGTCCTCTAGTCCCGCTTAACCACCTGCTCTGGAGCTGCATGTCGAGTTGCTTTTGGAATTTGGATGTTCAGGGCTGGAAACTATCAAGTCTCGGTGACGACTACGGTTGCTGTGTCGCACTTCCTTGTGCTTCCCCTCCCCACACCGGGTTGTTGGAGCTATAGGCTCAGATTATGTAGCTCGGTGAAATTGTCTCATCACTCAAGGCTGGTTGCGTGGTGCGCTGACTGACAGGATGTAGATAGTTCGATTGCTGAGAAGCCGTGCTTTGTGAGGCAAGGTCGATCCGACTGGCTGCTCTTTGGCAAAATTAGGGATGGTTGTGTGAAAAGACACACAAGAGGTGGCACAGCTATGAAGCTCAATTACGTGTCAGGTGTTGCAGTAGCCGTTCTGTTAGCGTGTGTTCTTGTGGAAGGAGCTCCTTTCCCCGCACCATTGATTAAACTTTGTAAAAGTACGCAGGGATGTTGTCCCCTACCGGATTCTAGGACTCCAGTGGATTTCACTTTTCGACCCAACCTGCCGATTAGAATACGCCGTGCTGCTCATCTTGCCGACGATGCCTACATTGCTAAATACCGACTTGCGTATAAGAGGATGGCAGCTCTTCCGAACACAGACCCTCGCTCCTTGTATGCACAAGCGAATTTGCACTGTGCCTACTGTGGCGGAGCATTCAAATTTAATGGTAGTAGTTGGCCACTGGAGATTCATGGCGGTTGGTTTTTCTTCGCGTGGCACCGAGCATTCCTCTACTTCCACGAGCGGATACTTGCGAGTCTGATTGGGGACGATTCGTTCTCACTGTTGTTCTGGAACTGGGACAACCAGTCGCCGGGAGCAGTACAGGGGAATGTCATGCCCAGCTTCTTCGACGATCCGATCGACAACCCCCTATACAATGCAAATCGAGACCAGTGCGCTCGTCCTCCCAATGTCGTCGACCTCGGGTATATATCTCAAACTCCGGGTGGGCCATGTCCAGACAGCTTGGGGCTGGATACCTATAACAATGACATCATGAGACTTCAGATGGCCGCTGAAACAGCGAGGCTCTTCCATGGAGCTCCAGTCAGATACAATACACGAGGAGGCAGGAGTCCAGGAAACGTTGAGCGCACTCCTCACGGAAATGTTCATATTTTCACAGGTGATCCTTCGGCCAACACCCGCGTGAACCCACTAACGCTGAAGCCATACGCTGTCAGGGACGACATGGGGAACCTCAACCGGGCAGCTGTAGACCCACTGTTCTACTCGCATCACGCCAACTTGGATCGTCTGTGGGCTTTCTGGATAGCTCAAGGTGGTATGCACTCTGATTACAACGACCCTGATTACCTGAATTCCAAATTTATTTTCTACGACGAGAACAAGACCCTGATTTCCATATCGGTTAGCCAGGTCTTGAACTTGGCCAACTTGAGGTGCGTATCACAACTCTAATCCCTGCTCATTGTAAAGGTGACAAAGTGATGTTACACATAAACTCACTCTCCCCTCTAACTGTGTTCCATTATGTTTGAGCGGACTCTGAGTTCTGTCCGAATTCGTTATATTGCCAGATACGATTACGATCAGGGTGACAACCTCTGGACGATTGAACCACCACTAGACCCACCACTAGCACCGGCAGCTGCACCGGTCACTATAGCGAGTATCATGAGTTTTGAATCTAGGGATGAATCACCGCCACCACCACCATCTGGGCCGAGAATCTGCTCACCCCCCAACAGTCCAAGGCTAGGACGTATGATCAAGAATGCCAAATTGCTGAAAAAGGGCTGGACGGTATTCTCCGGTGAGCCCCTCACGTTTCGTGCTCGCCGAATTGATCCCTCCGGAAACAGTTTTGAATACCTGACAATCAACGACCTGGTACTGGATTGGACCAAGCCTGCGCAGATTCACGCTTTTCTCTTCCTCCCAAGCGCCACTGAATACTCCACCGGCTGCCATGAGTTCTTCGGCACATTCTCCCACATACCTCAAGCAGATCACCATCGACCCAGTGATTTCAGCATGCAATGGACATTGGGACTGACGAGTAAGCTGCAGGATATAAGAAAGCCGTATGTATCGCATGTTGTTGTCACTCTCGTGCAGGTTGAGTCTAACCAACAGATTAAGTTCAAGGGTATCACGATGGAGATCGATAGAAAGTGGTGATTTTGTGGACAGGATCAGAGTAGACGTCACTCATTCATTTGCACCAGACATGGTTTGCACACAACAAATTGTTTTTAACTTATTCAGAGGAGTAGTCATTGCTACTGTCTTGCATATTATTTGTTTAAAGCAAATGTTGGATTTGGGGTTTGTGAGCCCCCACCTGTGACTTCAAGTCTTTGGATTCATTCCATCCAGCAATAAAAATCTTCTCACTTGTGCTACCATACATTCTTCCTGTTTTTGAAAATTGTAATTTTGATTCCTGCACATTGTGTGTGGGTGTTATGAAACAACATTCATCCAACATTGAAGGTCAGCACTTCTTCTAACCTTGATTATGTGTTGGACAGGTAGTAGCTTGTTGTACAATTCCTGTGGTACTATTCAACACTTCTCTTTCGGAAGTCGGACTTAGTTCTCTGTTAAAACAAGGTTTAACATATATCTGAAAGTTAGAAACTTATCTTTAGTGAGGTTTGGTGAAGTTATCTACCACCATTTGTTTTGTAAGACTACTCCAATCCAATTTTTATTTTTATTTTTTTTATACATTATGTGATGAAATGATATTCTATATTCTAATTCTTTGTACAACCATAGTATGCTAAATTATTGGCAATAGTAATGGTGATTTGGTAATCTTTATTGAGCAAAGTATTAACAAACAAATGTAATGTTGTGCCTTGTAGTATTTGTAAGATACAATAGCAAATTTAAAGATTTTTTATAAAGCTTTATTCTTTTTACATCCAAAGATTTTTCATTCTTATGCTTAGTGAAATGACCTTGTATCATTGATATTGCAGCTATTTTTGTATCATTTATTCTGAATTCCTCCAACTTCCAATAAATATACTTAGTTTGGCTCAAATTGATAGTACCATTATTCTTATTTTTAAAGAAATCAATATAAAAGAAATAACTAGATTCACTAAGTTTTATTATCTTGTAGCATTTTTGCAATTCATCCTTATTATTCATAAGGATCTCAATTTTTTTGTCATCAACTAATACATCACTAATATAGATAATCAAAATAAGAATTATTTTTTTATGTAAATTGTATACAAATAAAGATATGACTTTGAATGCTCCTAACAAAAATTTACCAAGGATGCATCTAAACTCTTGTTTAATTTGCATCTGCATTGTTTCAAGCCTTAGAAGGTCTTTTATAATCATAAAACATTGTCTTTGTGTTTAAGCAAAACTTTTAATTTTTTTGGAATCTTTATATAGATATTTTTTTTCTTTAAGTTCATTATTCAAATAAGTTGAAACAATATTAAGTTGCAATATATTCTAATCAATGATAGTAGCAATTATAACATGTATGTAGATTGTTGCAAGATAAGAAACTTGTATACAAGTCTTTTGGTAACCAAGACCATTTATCTGAGTAAAATCCTTCACAACCAAGTGTGATTTAAAATTCTCAATAAAACCATTGCTAACAAGCTTCATCTTACAAAATCTATTTCAAATTCACAATCTTTTTGCCATTTAGTAAAGATAAAAATCCCCTTGTATTATGATCATTCAAAAAATCAAGTTCTTCTTCTATGGCATGATTCTAATTCTTGTTAACGAATATTTTTATGGCTTATTCAATGGTTTTTGATTTTTTATGTTTGTCAATATGAATAATATATATTATTTCAATTAAAATATGATAATTTCTTTAAACAAAATAGTTTTCATTTTTCCAAAGCATGCAACATGTCCTTCTACCACTTCTAATGTTTATTGAGTCAATTCCATCTATGTAATAACGTCTTGGTAGTAGAACTTAAGTGGTTGCATCTACTTCTATTTAATAGAACTCTACTACTTATGTTGATATACAACTTACTGTCTTATCAATTATTTCTCTATTAAATCCATCATATATATATGATTCCAAGGCTTGATGTTTGGATGTTTCTACTCCAATTGGATATTCAAGACTAAGAAAACCAAGCTTGTTCTTATAATCTTGAAGAGCTGGTGGCTCATTGAACAATTTAACTTTGTCATAAAAAATTAAGAAAAAAAAAAAAAAAAAAAAAAAAAAAAAAAAAAAATCTTGATTAAAAAACATCTTCTTGTCTTTAAATAGGAAAATCTTATATTTTTTTGGTATATTTTAATATTAAAAAAATACCCTTCTTTAAATTTAAATCAAGATTTTAACATTTTTTTAATATGTAATACTACACATAATAACCAAAATAATAAGCATATTTAATTGAAGGTTTTTTTATCATAAAAAACTTTATATAGTATCTTACCACTAAATCTTACAAGTAGAAGGCAATTACAAGTCTAGGTTATAAACTTGGCAATAAATTCTAAATACCAACTATCTAACTTGGCATTCTTTAATAATATATTCACCTTTCTTTTAGTTCTTCTTTGTGCCTCTATTCCCTATGACTTATAAGCAACATACACATGGTCATTATTTTAAAGAAATGGAAGACTACTATAATATAAATATTTGTTAATCCACACAACTAACCATTTAGTACTATGAAAATTAGTTGTATCAAAATAACTAAGATTAGATATTATAACATCTAAAATGCTATCAATATGCTTCTACTTGTATGAAAAAGACTACCTATAGACCTTATCAATAATGCACAATTCACATGTGAGTACTTTATTCTTTTCATCCTTAATCTTCAAATTCTTCAATACTATTCATCTGCTCCACCTTTCATATTGTATGCATCAAAGCATATGATAATGCTTAATATTATTCAATGAATATACAACCTAAGATAGATGAATTAGCACTAACAATAACTTCTTTAATTTTACAAGGCATAAGATAAGTTTTATTGTTGAGAGTACCTTGCATGAATAAGTAATCTAAGAAAAGGATCCAATCAACTCCATTTTCATTCAAGCTATACTTACAATCTTTCTTGTAGAATATTATAGTTGACAAGAATATATTATGTGCTCTATAAATCCAATATATATCCTTCACAATCATATGATTTTTTTTATTTTTTTTTTTTTTGTTAGATTTAAAATTTTGATGTGCATTTTATTTAAACTTTGTGATGTGTTGATACACTGTTGTAGCCATAAAGTTGGATAGTTGCATTTTCATGAAAATTGAGAAGCTTACTTATGTTTTTTTAGATGTGCATATTTTTTGCATTACTAATGCAAATATAATGGCATGATTGAAATAGTGATGTAATTATTGCTTGTGATTCATATAATGCTTCTTGGCTTAAGAAAATAACAATAATATCAATACTTATATCACTACCGTTTATTCTAAAATATTCTACATCACCTCACTAATGTTCTTTCTATCCATAAGTCCTACAACTACTTTTGGACTTATTAATCTTTAATTTTTGCTTTTGTTATGGATATTTCTTCTTCAAAGGTTGTTTCCTATATACATATATTACTAAAGCAAAAAATAGAAAGCTATTCTTATTATTTCTTTATATCTTTTCTTTAAAAAGTATGGTCCATATAATTTCTTCTGTGATCTCTTCTTGTTTTTCAATGCAATCAACTAAACAAACAAATTCAATAACTTTGATAATGTAGTAAATACAAGAAAAGTCCAACTATGTTTGCCAATTTTACCACCAGATTCAATGTATTAATTTCTAAGGTCAAAGATTTTGCCAAGAAAACTCTCAATAGGTTTTTCATTAATGTACCAAAGATTGTGGAGTTTCTTCATCAAGAAGATCTCAATATTGAACTCTAATAGCTTGTAGATGCTAACTAAAACATCTTGCATTTCTTTTGTTGACTTACATTTGTATACTAATTACAAAGATTTGAGATTGAGCACAATCAATGCTTATGCTTCCACCGCTTTTAACTTCTATTTTGATTTCTTGTTCATATCCAAAAGACATTGTAATGTTGAGTCTATATGTGTGTAGAGCTTATGTATGTGCATCAAATGCTTTATGACTAACATCCATGTATCATAGTTCTTTTCATTCAATCAATCAATGCAATGGTCGATCAAAGATGATGCCATTATTAAAAAAATATATGCAACAGTAGCGAATAACAAGATTGTTCAACAACAACAAATCTTAAAGTAGCAATAATATAACAAGCAACAAGTATTGTATTAGAATCAATGCCACAAAGCAACAATACCAAGTTATGATAAAGTAATAATCTTATCAACTTTAATTCTCAATAATAGCAATAGTATTAATATTTAGCAACAATCAAAATCAACTACAACAATATTGAATAGAATAGTAATAATTGAATAGAATAGTAGTAATAATAATATTGGATAGAATAGTAATAATTGAATAGAATAGTAATAATAAGAATATTGGATAGAATAGTAATAATAATAATTAAAAGAAGGGTATAAGATAGTCTTGAATTGTATACTTTGTATATAAATAACATTTGCAGGTAAATCATAAGAAAATGACAACCTTTTGTATTCAGTAATTAAATTAATAATTATATCATCTTTTATACTCTATTATAATTTTTTCTATTATAATACATATTTTTGGATCAAAGTGTCCAAATTAGTTGCATATTTTCCTAATAAATCACTTATACTATTAGAAATATATTTACTGATTACTTTTAACTTGTTTAACATGCTTCTTAAAATAATCCATGCAAGAATTTTAGGATGTGTTTGGATCAAAAATGTCAAAGCACATAATAATAGTCTTAAAATGTGCAATCCAAGCCCTAGTTTCTGGAAAGTCCTAATCTTCGTCGAGGTCACGCTGAGCGGACGGGAGGCCTTCAGCTGTGACAGACAAATGTGAGATTTGGTACACGAAGATCAGAGAGAGTTGAGGGGAACGAGATCAGTACCGAGCAATACTTCGCTTCTTTTTTTTCTTAACTTTTTTCTTTTAATAAATGGTCAAATCCAGCTGTTTTAAGTAGCTTTCGAAAAGATACAAAACAAATGAAACACGACACGCCTGGGTAGCATGTAATGAATTTCAATTCTTAACAGTTATTAAACTGACCTCAACACAAGCTCCAGATGTTGCTAATGATATTTCTGTATGCAGCTCGTTACTAGCCTCCTTTGTGGTTGGATTGCGGCGAATACCCACTTATCAAGCTCCAGATGAACTTCGGCAGTGAAAAGATACAGAATGAATCATCCACATACAACAGTTGTATCTAGTTTCCTTGCCCAACTGGCTGAAAAGAAAATTTCTTGTTCTTGTATTCAGTCAAATTGATTGTTCCTTCCTTCAAGCTAATTGAGTACACATGCACACCATATTTACACCAGGCTAAGACGAATCTACAGCAGTTTCATTTCACATTCGACGTCACTTCAAATGACATCTAGAAGCACAACTCCTCAAGAATCAGAGGGTTCCAGCTCAACTTTACAAGCCAAAAATCTCGTGATTGTGTCAATACTGCGAGTACATTTTGTTCGTTAGTATCAGACTATCACGAAGTCCTTCAAAAAGAATGTGTTTATGAATGCGCATTTCACTGGACCTGACCCTCCATACGAAAATGATTCATGACAGCATCTTGTAAAGAGAGAGCTCGTCGAAATTCCTGGTAGCTGATGCGACCATCACTGTCGGTATCGACATGCTCAAAGATATCGTCCATCTGCACTTGACTGATATCTGCTGGGAGGTAGTCTTCTGGCAATGCCTGCTCAGCAAATTTGAACAGAGTTAGGATCCAAACAGTAGCAGCGCCTCTAAAAGCCCCCATCATAACCAAGCCCCCTAGGAGTATAGTACACGGCACCATCTTCATGAAGACGCAGAACTCACAAATGACATTTAAGGATATTGTGATGTCAGACTCGACGAACTTAATGCAGATATTACCAACTTGCAGAAGAATGTACCACACTGCGAGTGGATCGTGACATACCCCAAGAACTCGAGCCAGTTCACCCTTAGAAATGTAACCAGAATCGTCTCTGTCATAGATCTACAAGCACCGAGAGAAAAATTGCTATGTTTCAGATCATTTAAATCTAGGAGGAATCCGGAAAGTACACAATGTATGGCATTCATGACGAGTAGACTTGAGCAGATTGAAAACTACTCAAAAACGTAGAATTAGAGATGGATAATGATTCAGAAAGCAGAGAAAACTTTCGTGGGACACACCTTGAAGCACATTTGTAAGGCATCATCTAGATGTGATGTTCGCAAAAGAGAGAATCCACAGACCACTTCGCGCAGATCTATCCCGCCATCGTGGTTGTAGTCGAACAACTCGAAAATGCGAGGAGCAAGTGGCACGAAGCAGTGCAAGTTTATGGAGCGTAAAACTTCTTCAAACTCTTTAAGCGTAGCCGTCTGTCCGTTTGAAGATCTGTACGCACAAAACCAGCATTGAAAGGTCATACAAGCTCCCCAATATGGAGACGTCCACGGTAATCAGCTCAGTCGAAGTCCCATCCAGAAAGGACCTTGTCAAGCACCAACTTCACTGCTCATATTGTGTAACTATATCTCTAAGATGAAGGGCTAAAACTGTTTTCTTTTCTTGTAGTTTTAGAGCTAAGAGCGACCGGAAATGGAATACTGAAAGATCAAAAGGCGTAAGCCCAGTAGCTCCATAAAAATCTAAACAAAAGGATCTGACGGTGTCGGTAAAGTACATACATACGCATGAAATTTACACGCAAAGCTTCCAACTCAGAATCAGTAAGAACACGGTCTCCAAGAAGCTCCTTCAAATATCTGGTGCGCAGCAGAAACTTTGTTCTCACAATGCTGGCATAGGCTGTAGCCCGAAACTTGCGTCGGGCATTGAAGTGTTGTAAGCGCATGAAAACGTCTTTGTGAAGCAGGTCCCTGTTTGCTATATCTCCAGACACCCATGGGTGTGACAATAACTAGGCATCCGCCATTGGTGCCCTGTCAGCAACTCTTCTATATCGCTTTGGTAAACGCTCTTGCCATTACTACGGACCTCGGAAAAAGTGACAACAAATTCAAAGGAACGACAACAATCCAGCTTAAGAGCGAGGATGGGGTTTTGCAACCTCGCACTTATCCTTATTCAGGGTTAAGTAAATATTGAATGCCCATCAATAATATTTAAACGGTACCGGAAGGGAGGGCTGAGATTGGATTAGTGTGAGGCACACAACTTACCTCTCGAGCAGTGGGACGCGCAAACGGATCCACCGACAACAACCTTCTAATGAGCTGCTTCGCTTCATGAGAAATACCTCTCCAACTTTCTTCTTCCATGCTGTATGATCCCTGCAAACCTATGATTGGCTTACTCAAAAGCTGTGCTAAGCGTAGACGTTTTGACAAACTTAAATATCGGTACAAACGAATCAATCAAAGCAGTTAGCTACTGGTAAATGGAGTCTCTGTAACGCACTCGATGCCGGGTTGTCACGCGAGCTGTTTACTATGGTGAAGAAACCGCGATAAACGCCTTAACAAGGGAAAGCACAGAGAAAAGTTTGAGACAACAAGAAGAGTTTCTCTAATCCGACAGAGCACTACGAGAGTGTAATAAGTGGGAACGAGTAGTCACCGTTAGGATTTGCATCTGCTTGTCACGGCTAGACCTAGCACGAAATGGAGGATACCTGCACACAGATTAAAAAACGAGCCAAGCTTAGAAAACACACAGCATAGACTCTAGCATGTTCTGCATGAAACAAATTTGCAAAAAACAACAACAACATGGAGATGAAATTTGCAATTAGGGGATTTCTGGTTTTCTTGAAAAATTGAGTGAGTTCAAAGAACGCACCCGCATAGGAGAATATAGAGGATCACCCCGAGCGACCACATATCATTGGCAGGCATTATGCCAGACAGACTGAGTTGTTCAGGGGCCATGTAATCAATCGACCCAAAGATACCCACAATCGAATTTGTGTTATGGTGAATGTAACTTAAGCCGAAGTCCATGATCTTGAGCGGCGCCTCTGCCAAGGGGTTCACGTACAAACAGTTCTCCGGTTTTAGGTCCCGGTGCACAATCTGCGCCTGGTGCAGTGCGGCCAGCCCTGACGCAATCTGACGCACGACTTTCGCGGCGTCTCGCTCCGAGTATCGCTCGTGCTGGACTATGCGATCGAACAGCTCGCCCCCTCTGCAGAGCTCCAGCACCAAATGCACTGCTCCGTCGTCCTCATACACATCGATAAGATGAATCACATTGGGGTGAGGCGACACTTCGTCCACAATGCGCATCATGACCATAATCTCATTCTTCACCAGCGCCTCCGCCTGCGACATTTGCGCGCCGGGCCGGCCATGGTCCCCTCTCCCGTAGCCGAACTTCTTCAGCGTCTTGATAGCAACCTGAAGATTGTCCTGCTTCCGCACACCAGCTCTCACCACCGAAAACCCCCCAGTACCCAGCACGGGACCCACGTGGAAATCATCCACCAACAATCTCCTCCCATATGGATCACTCATCTCGTCTTCCTAAAATCCCACCTCAACCTCCCTCCTACCACCCGCCCGAAGCATTCACCGCTCCCACCAGAAAACCTGATTGCAGGTAATCCCCAGCTGGATAAACCTTCTAATCCCCCCCAGCTTACAGGAACAACGGACTCATTATTCGCGACAACAGCTTCTAGATTGCAGCTGCTCTCTCGCTTCCAACCCTCCCCCTCCACATAGCCGCCGCAGCGCTCGAATCATAGCTACGCTTCCCATAGCTACACACTAAAAATACCTGGGTCGCAGAGCGTCCAACCCTGGCTTGTCCTAGTCCTTTGACTGATTCCTACCCATCGTCTCCTCCCCCCTCTTCCGCTTCCAACCCTCCCCCACATCCCAGGGACTTTGTTACCGAATCCGTGGTGGACTCCGGCCAAAAAACAACAAAAACAATTCCGTAACGAGGAGAATCAAACAGACGAATCCACGCACACCTCGACTGCGCTCTGCTCGATGTGCGATGCTTCCGAGGTTATGTCCTATCTCCCTCCCGGAACCAACAAAACCCGCTGATCGATCAGTCGCCATGCTGGTTCTAGATTCCCGGCCGATCGATTGACGACACCCTACTGGTCCTCTCCAAAGTACCGCTTTTCCTTATTTATCCACTCAGTTCGTCTTCCCTTACTCCTTTTACTCGTTTTGTTGTTATGCCCTTCTCCTCCTCTGTGACGCTTAAGCTCCAATCGTTTCATCTCTACAAAGAATTACTATTTCCAATGTCCGCACATTGTAAGTATGTGCTGCATATTCTATTCGAAGACTTCTGCTCAGTCGAATCCATCAGCGCCGAAAGATAGGGCCCAGGTTTGGGTTTGGGATTGGGTTCGGGTCCTAACCTGATCCCGAACCAGGACCCAGACGGTTTGGTAGTTGGTTTGGTGTTGTTCCCCAGTTTGGAGAACGAAGACCCGCCCTGTCACCGAGGGTCGACCTGCACCCACGTAGGAGCGGTTGTAAGGAATCCCAGGTGCGCTTGGCCCCGATCGACCCGGCCCGGCCAGGCCCAATTCTGGCATTCATTGCGGCCTTTGATTGGGATTGGTTTAGTAGTTATTACTGTTTTGGGATGGGATGAGTCGGATGCCAGCGTGGCAGAAGTGCGCCAGCTGTACATGAATGGATCAGAGCTTAATCCAATACAGAATTGTGGATCAGATAATGTAGAATTTCATTTTTGCTTTTTTATCCGCTTCATCACATTATGGGCTGTTTCTCATCATTCCAAATATATTAATGTGCATGTTTCTCACCATTTATACGCATTTATATAACATTAGACAAAATGTCTCCATACTGTCAATGACTTGCCACGTAACAACGAAATATATTCATGAAATGTGAATATACCCATCAATATTTTCCTCGTGATTTTATTTTATATTTTTTTATTATTTTTTGTGTGTGTGTCCATCATCGTTTATTCAAAATTCTCGTATCCATTTAAGCTGGAGAAACTTAGTGATGATCGCCAATGTCTATGATTATATTGTAGAAAAGCAATCCACTCGATTTTTTAATCGTAGCACGATGAAGTCTATTGCCGTATTATAGAAATATCTAAACATTTGTTTTCTTCTTATGGAAATAGCAACCAACTTTTACTATAACAAACATGGGTCTTTGATTGTAGCTGTGTAAGGAAGAAGGGAATGTGGTCAAAAACAAAAACAAGTTAGTTAGAGGAATGGGTGGAGAATCACAACCCAAACATTTTATTATTATTATTATTATTTTCTCTTGTTGTTTAGCAATGAGGTCAGTCACTGGGCATGATCATATGATCTATACCCTGGTTGATACCCTGGAGATAGTTGGTGACGGATCTACCTCCACTGAAGGACAACAGTGCTTCAGGGAAGCTTCAAAACATGGGCTGACTGCCACGTCATGAGACTAAAAAGACAAAAGTACCTTATCATGCTTGAAAAGTTGCTTTATACGTGAGTGGGGGAGTTAATCACTTTTACTTTTTGATAATAAGTTAATTGTTTATGTTGATGTATGTATATATATATATATATATTTTAACTCATGCTGAATAAAATAATATTTTGACAAAATAACCTAAAACATAATGTTCATTTTCATTAATGCATTTTATGATCTTTAAACTGTTACATATATACATATATACATGTACATACACACACATGTGTGTGTGTTTCATTTTACCAATTACTCAACATTTTCATTTAACACACTTTAAAAGAGTATGATTGATGCAAAATTAAACAAAATAGTACCCTAAAACATTGTCACTTTATCATTTCTTAACCATTAGATGCATTTTCCTTGTCTTTGTATTCTTCCAAAAGCCACGTTATTCAAAAAAAATTAGTTGCAACTGATAACAAATTAGTCACAAGAGGTTTCTTTTCCAGTTCTACATTTGCAGTACAAGGTGAATTTTATTATCAATGTGCAGAATTTGATATTATGCTCTTTTCAATCAATCCAATCGTCAAGAGAATCTTACAGTACATTATTCTCATAATATTTTGAAGTTTAAATACACCCACTTCATTACAGTCTGGTTTGTAAGTACTTTACAGATACAATAGATGTTAAACCAATCATTCTCACCTACATTCAACGATTCTGTGTGATTAGTGTGTGTGTGTGTGTGTGTTTTATTTGTTTCTTTATTTATTTATTTTCAAACATTAAAATCAAGAACATTAATGATTTAGTGAGTTATTTCATGTAGTCTAACCACGAAATTACTTCTGCAGTTGTGCACCCATGTGAAGTTTATAGATTATGTGTAATTTTTTCATCAATTCTAACACTTGCTTTAAAACTATTTGTCATTCAATAAGTCTAGCATCATGAAGTGTCCAAAATAATAAGGAAAATCACGGTTTTGCAAAAAAGAATACACATATGTATATATATATATATCTATATATATATATATATGTGTATATATATATTTATATATATATGTGTATATATATATTTATATATATATGTGTATATATATTTATATATATATACATAGAGGGAGAGAGAGATCTCGATTTGAATCTATTTTTGATCTCAAACTATTCCCACCCAGATAAAACTCACACAAATCTTCCAAGGAAGCACCATTCATCACATCCCACAACTCATCGAAGAGTCTGTACCGACACGAATCCAGACGGTGAAATGCTTCCGATGCAAACCGAAACGACAGTTTTGAAAGCTAAGGCAGTTTCCAGATCAGCAAGCAGAGAGCCGCAGTTGGGAAGATTATGGTTGTTTCCAGATCTCGAAACGGAACTCACCGCAGTTGTGAAGCAGCAGAGGATGTAAGGCAATCAGTTTGCAACACACAGCGCCCATGCAACCCCCACCGATACACAGAAAGCACGAAACCATAACTAAAGCAAAAACCGTGTGTGGGTGTGTGGATATGTGTGTGTGTGTGTGTGAGTGTGCATCCAGTGGGATCCTAACTTCGTAAAAATGTTGAGTGGAAGGAGAGAATGGAAGGGAGTGAAATAATAAAAACGATGAGATCAGTGGGCGACAGCTCAAAACCAGTGGCGCAACGGTAGCCGGCAGCTCGAGACCGCTCGCTGTGCAGTGATGAACAAGGAAGGAGGTGTAAAAGGGTAAAGAAGAAAATGCCATGCTGAGAGGGCGAGGAGGAGGGCATACCATGAGTATGTAGCGGGATCGCCGTACCCCACCAGGGAACTTATGCGGCAGGGGCTTTTGTGGATGCTCGCAGCCCCAGCAAATCCCACACTTGCAGATTTCCCCCAGAGGAAATGTTTTTGTGAGGACGTCGCGCTCTTTGTTTGTGTGAACCCTTTTTTCGCGGTGGCGTGTGGAACAAGTAGTAGTTGTTGGGGTCATTTCACTAACGTGACGGAATTGCTTGGCCTGGCATGGCCCTTCACTCACTTGTTCGTCCGCCGGCTAGCTGGCTGCCTAACTGCCTGACTTTCTACTGCCTAGCGGGGTCGAGTTGTTGTACCCTTCGTGAAGTCGAGATGTGAGTCTTTTTATTTCTTTATTTATTTATTCATTTTAACATTCTTGGCCGTGTGTTTTTTTTTTCATTCAACGTGGTAGATCGGTAGAGAATCAGGTGGTGTGGGACGAAGCCAAGGAATGGAATCCCCTCAGCCACATTAATGAGGGTGGGTGTAGGCAGATGAAACATAAGATATTGAGTGATGATGGCCCCTTCGTGGCAGCTCTGCAGATTCTCACAAAGTCGTTGGAGCTTCCGCCCTTTCTTACCTGCTAAAGGAAATTGTAATTAGAGCTCACACCAACAACACAAACAATGAAATGCAAGAAAAGAAACGAAAAGCATAAAAACAAGAAAGCCAGAAGATAAGCAGGAAAAAGACAAGTGGGGAGGAGATGTGCATTGACTGAGACTAGGTACCGGCTCATGCCACGAATATAAGCGAGTCAGTCGAAAAGAGAGCGAAAACACACACCCACACACACAGAGACTCATACACACAAGCATTCCTCTAGTATGTACCAAGCGGAGGCCTGTTCTGTGGTTTCTAGGAGAGAGGTAGCGGACGAGGTGCGAAGGAAGTACTTATGCCCAGTGTGGTGGCGAACGGCGACTTACTGGTGAGTGAAGGGAGGAGTTACCGGATGACCGCGCCCCGTGCTTGGCTGCGACGTGACAGGACTCGAATGTGACAGGACACCACCCGACGCGCCGTGGTGGTACAGCAGCGGATGTGGGCGAGTAAGTTAAAAAGGAAAGTGTCGCTGGATGCAAGGCTGGCAGACAAGCAAAACAGACGCGAGCTGTTGCGAAAGGCAGTGTCAGGCCAGGTCAGGTCAGGCAATCGCAGCCCCTGCCTGCAGCAGCAGCAGCAACAGCCTCCTCCCCCCTAGACCCCCTTTCTCCCCCGTTTCCCCTGACTCCTCGCCCACATCGTAGAATGCTTCATTGGTAATGCTACCGCCACTCTCGAAGCAAGCAAAAGAGTGAGAAGTCGGGAATGTACGCAGTGGAGCCAGGGTGAGCACCGTTCATTGGGTTGAGTGTGAGCGTTGTCGCCAAAGCCTGAGGAAACCGGAAACCATCCTTCATTTGCGAAGGAAAAACGTTCCAGAAGGAATATGTGAGTAGTACACACTTCCCTCTTTCCTCCTTCCCCCGCAAGGTTGCTCAAGGTACAGTATGTTACGAAGTACGTGGGAGTATTTAATTTTGGTGGAGCAGGGGGGAGGACGCTTTGGATTTAGGCATGGGGGTCTCTTTCCAATTTGTTCTTAATGATACATTCTGTTGATGATTTATGATGGTGGTGCTGATGATGATTGCACATGGGGGATGCTGTGCTGGGTGATGGCCTGGGAGAGGAGAGGAGAGAGAGAGAGAAACGAGAGCGGGGGTTGTTGGTGTGCGGATGAGCGAGAGGCGAGGATGAGCGAGGACAGGGTGCTCTGTTTCGTTTGAAATCATCGCGTCGGTTGGAATGTGAGTTCTGCCCTTGTGCTTGGGTTGAAAATGGTGTGACATTGAGTACATTTTTGTAGCGGGGACGGGGCGTTCAGTTTTGGAGCAGAAGTCTCGGGGAGGGTGAAAGGTGTAGGTCGAGATCGGCAAGCGGTAATGTTGAGAGTGCTTTTGTGTAGATCTGGGCCGTGAAGGTAGGCAGCTGAGATAGAATCGGATCTTCGAGGGGAGAGGGTGGAGACAAAGATCACATTTTCTCCTGTACTGCTAGCATTTTGCTAATCGCCCTTGGGCGCAGACGGTCGCTGCGAAGCTAGATTGGTAATCGCGGGACTCTCCGTCCCGCATGTGACAACGCACAGGTGTAGAGTCGATGGAGATGATCGCAGGAGCAGGTTTAATTAGAACAAAATATTCTGGTATTGATGCATGGAAAGGCGGTTCGGCCACTGGGTTTTCTCCTTGGAAGCACTGCGAGTCCCCCTCGTATTCACCGAAAAATCCTGGAGCATGCTATGCTGTGAAATCGAGCTCAGGATATGAATTCTCCAATTTTTTCTCGGTAGCAGACAGCCAATTCCCGCTCAAAGCATCGGCGGGGTTGCATGGCACCTCGAGGGGTATGAATGCCGCGGCGGCGACAGGCAATGGAGCCTTCACAGGGGGAAATAGGGCTGAAGACGTGAACGATGCTTTCTCGAAAGTATTGCCACACACTGTTCTCGAGAAAGATAGTGCAGCATTTAGGGCGATCCTAGCTGCCATAGCCAGTGTCGCACTGGCAGCCGAGAATCAGAGGCGACATGACGTTTTTCCTGTAAAATCAGAAGTTCCCGTTGATGCTCTTCGACAAGGGAGGCTTGTGGAGAGCAGGCTAGTGTACCGGCAGACATTTGTGATTCGCTCATATGAGATAGGAGCTGATCGAACGGCCTCCATCGAGACAATGATGAATCATTTCCAGGTAATTGGGCATTCTGTTTGCTTAGCGTCGTGTAAATTCATGGTTGGCAGGTTCATGCGTCGCAGTCTACATGGATATTCTGGATCCTTTACCCTGTGAGTTTTTTTTTTTTTTTTTTTTTTTTTTTTTTTTTTTTCTGTTTACTTGCCTAGTGCAACTCAACAAAACTTTTGTGCCGGACCTTGTGTAGGAGACGGCTTTGAATCATGTGTGGATGTCGGGGATTGCTGGGGATGGCTTTGGAGCAACGCGTGCAATGTCTTGCAGGAATCTAATCTGGGTCGTTAGCCGGATGCAAGTCCACGTTGAGCAGTATCCTGCGTGGTGCGCACAATATAGATAGGCTTGCCCCTTTGTCTTGTTGCAAAGATTGCTCGATTAATTGAGTTATGGACTACCAATTATGCAAATGATGTAACATATCTACAGGATTTAATTTGCTCTGCTAAATATGTTCTAGGTCTTCAAATGACATGTGTAGAAAAGCCGCTTTAGAAAAATGCCTTCGAATTGTGAGGTTCTCAAATGCAACCACATTCTGGCGGCCAAGTGGCTATGACACCCATTGAATTTGTGCATGATCAGGGGCGATGTTGTTGAGGTGGGCACGTGGGTTGCTGCATCCGGAAAGAATGGGATGCGTCGAGATTGGCTTGTACGAGATTACAAAACAGGACAGATTTTAGCCCGTGCTACTAGGTGAATATCCCCAATGACCTGGAGCCCTCCTCGTTAAAAGGACACACAAAGCTTCTCAAAAAATCTACCATGGTCTATTTTTTTCTGTTATCTAGAAGTGCATGATGGTGATATTGTTTAGGATTGGTTGTGGTGTGCAGTACATGGGTGATGATGCACAGAAAAACAAGAAAGCTTTCTAAGATGCCCGAAGAAGTCAGAGCTGAAATTTCTCCCTATTTTCTGGATAGATCGGCAATTAAAGATGAGAGCATGTTAACACAGAAGATCATCAGGCTCGATGGGAATGCACAGTTCGTTCGGTCAGGGCTAACAGTAAGTTGCCTTCTGTGTTCGTTGAACTAATTCTACGTTGAATTGATTTACCACGTGTGATGGGCTATGGTTTCAAAATCAATTGGAAGGTACGAATGTTGATGAGACTTGACTTCATTGTTCGTGCAGCCGAGACGCAGTGATTTAGACATGAATCAGCATGTGAACAACGTGAAGTACATCGGTTGGATGATGGAGGTAAATGCACATGAAATATCCTCCGGACGTGAGGTTGCTTCTCCTCCCGTTTTTCATTTTCCAATGCGATTTCCTATGGAACAATGTCCTTTTTGTCCTTAGTAATTATTGCACTTGAAACTCATTATGCGATGTGCTCATGCAGGGTATTCCGCCCACAATTTTGGACAATTATGAGTTGGCTAGCATGAATCTGGAGTACAGGCGAGAGTGCGGACAGTCTGATATGGTTCAATCAATGGTCAGTCTTGAGCCATCAATCTCGGATTCTCCAGAGTCGAATGGGGTTTCAAATGGGACATCTAATGGCGCATCTAACGGTGCAACGCATACCTTCTCACACTCGGCAGCTTCCCCGACTCGGATGCCTGAGTTGAAAATTACAGATGTCAATGTAGGTTTTTTGCAATTTGTACACTTGTTGCGGATGGAAAGTGATGGAGCAGAGATACTTCGAGGGAGAACTCGTTGGAGACCAAAGAACCTCCCTCTACCTTAATAGTATAAAAGTTACTGAATCCTAAATTTAAAGCTTTTGAAGAATATGAAGAATGTACGTGTACACTGCTATGTTATTTACATGTCTAACTATTCTAATGTTCACACACTCTAAATGTTTGAAAAAAATTCACTTCTGATGCGCTGCACTTATAGAGGGTTGATTCGATGAAAAAATATTTTTGTGTGAAGGAGATACTGGTAGTTAGGAGGCTTGTTGATGACTTCAGTTCAGTTCCATCTACCGAATGTGACCACTGCTCATTTCAGCTTCACTGGAAGATGGAAGAATCGCAACAGGTAGTCATGAAACACCAAGCTTCACTTTGTAGTTTATGCAGAGACCCCAGATAGAGTTGTGCACTTGCTTTGATGAAATACACATCGAAGGCATACATGTACTGAAACATTAGACAAAAACAGAAAAAAGAAGAAGAATGAAGTTATGATCACTATCATGTGTGTTCTCTGGAGTGTGAAAACTGAGCTCATCAAAAAATCGCAGATCTTTTGAATTATTTTTGAGACAGAAAACCGCATGGTTGTGCAGCGGTTGAAATGAATGACCACAGTTAGATTTAGGTTTTTAATAGCACTGAATCTACACATGTAGTTTGAGATTATTTGACATGATCAAGCTTTGTCCAGGATAGACTCCTGTCCAAAGAACTGCTCCTTCGGTACCACCCACATTACGCATAAACCAAGCTTGTGTTGCTGTCAATGCAAAGTGCTGTTTAACAAACGCCCAACCGAACCCTAATTCACTGCCTGCCTCCATGTGCCATCTCCTCTCAGTCTGTTGTTTTCGCACCACTATTTATTAAAAAAACATAATCCGGGCACAGGTGTGCATGCTGCTCTATTATCACTACCGTTATGCTGCATTCATCTTGTGCTTCTCTACTCAATAATTCTATGTCTCTCTCAGCACTACATTGACACTATGTAAATATTGCCTTCAATGATAATAAAATAGTGTGGTTATTTATTTATTTTCCTCTTAAATGAGTGTAATTTTAGACATTAAAAAAAATAAAAATAAATGTATATATATATATAAAAGACACTTCATTATGAAGATAGTTCATCTACATTTTAAGGATCTTTTGAGGTTTTTAAATAATTGTTTTATTTTATAATATTTTGCTCGTAGAAATTATTTTTATTTATTTTTAATTTTTTTGTACACAAATAGGGCCTACCCAATTTTGAGAATAATAGAATGGTTGTAGAAAACATTGATTATTCATAATTCTAATACACTAGGATTAGTACATATTACTAATCATTAATATTAGTTAGTCTACTTCTGATATTTTTAGTTTCCTTCTAAGGAACTATGTATTATCAATTACTTTGTAGAATTCTTAAATCCCAAAAATTATTGTATTTCTTCTAACTCCTAATAGTTTACAAATCATCCATGTTTTGTCTCATTTATGTAAAAGAGTTACACCATTACTTGTTTGTTTGCTTGTGATTATTATTATTATTATTATTATTATTATTCTTATTAATTTCTAACACACCCAACCATAATAAATAAAATTTGATCATAAAAAATCACTTAGTTTTTTGGTCATTCTATGTCTTACTATTTATTGAAGAATCATTGTATTGTATCCATATTGTTTTTAGATAGGATCCTTAAAATAAAGACCATGTTATTTGAAATTGTTTAAATACTTTAGAAATATCTTTAGAATTTTTTATTTTTTATTTTTATGTAAATACTTTCTAAGCACTTCAAAATTTAGGATTAGTAGATAAATTATAAAGAACACTTGTTATTTATTTTCAAATTTATCTAGCTTAACAAGAATTTTAGATTTATGAGGCAAGATCTTTAAAAGACTTGATACATATAATTGGATTGCATTTGAGGTTCTTTTTATTGAATTATGCCTTCAAATTTTTATTACAAATCTTGTATGATAGATTAATAAAAAATACATAGTTTCATTACATGCTTGAAATCAAAACCAAATATTTTTGCTATTAGTATTGTAATTTATATCTAATTGATTCTCTTATGTAGATGCAATCAAATTCTATTGAACTTAATATTTTTGTAAAATTTTTGTACCAAGTTTAGTAGAATAAGACATAAAATTGACTCTTTTTTCCTAATATTGTATTTATGGATTAAAGTTGCATCTTATAATAGTACCAAAAATATCATTTTTTCTTCTAAATTTTAAAATTTTCTTTTGATTATAAAATCACCATTATAATTTTAGCTAAAGCTTATATATTTTTTATATTAAAATGAACTCATGCCCATTTAAGATAAAATAAGAGATCCATTAATACATCATTATAATATAAAAATCTTAATTATATTTCAAAAAAATATATTTTTATCTTTATAAGATGAGGCTATATAAAATATGAATAAACATAAATTGGTCAAAATACTTAGTTGACCTAAAAGACATTATTTGATAGAAATGCTTTATTTGTATCATAAATTCTAATTTAATCATTAGACTTTAGTTAATACATGCATCTACTAAAAACAAAATATCAAAGACTAAACTATTAGTAAATTTAAAAAAATCCAAAAGCATTTAGCTTTTGTTAATGGCATAAAATATTATGTTTTATTCTTCTAAATATCTTAAATATTTTTTCTTCTTATTAGATAAATTTCTACAATTCTTAGAATTTTATTATGAATATTGATAAGTAAAAAAAAATAATTCCTACTACAAAAATAAAATCATGATTTTAAATATTGATGACAAAGAATTATTTGAAAATTTCTTGACGACTTTTATTACACATAGAAAATTCTAAGCCACACTTTGGAACTTGTGATGTGTTTATGATTTAATAAGAGATCTTATTATAGATTCATTTTTTATATGTTTTGATGTCTTGATGTTGCATTCATAAATCTATAACATTAAAGAATTTAAAGATTCAAATTACTTGTATATAATACTTAAATTATCCATATAGAAAGTATAGTTATTAATTTTTCTTTAGAATCTATTATTTGTTTATACAAAACATTACAAGCTTCTTTATTTTGGATAAGAATTTAGTTTTAATTTCAATAGAAAATTCTTAATATTATTCTTATTATTTATGGTTTTTAAAAATTTATTCGAAATAAATGTAACATAATATATTGATAATGTATTCATATTATTTAGAATTATTTCTTTCTATCATATTTGATTTTTTTAAATATCAATATTTAATCTTTTTTTCTTCTAATTTATTGATAATTTTTAATTATCTAATACTAATTTTGGATAGATATATTAAATAAAAAGCCAAGTTTAAAAAGTTAATAGTTATTAATTCATCTATATCAATTATTTTATATAAAGATAAAGATAAAATTATGTTACAAATATGTTAAAGATTTGAAATAGTTAGTACTAAAAATAATTAAAAATATAAAATATTTGAAGAATTTAAATTATTATTATTATAGATTTAAAAATAAATAAATAAAAATTGAATTAATTTCATATTGAATTGAATTTTTTTTGGTTATTTCTTTTAAAAAATTAAAATTTCTAAAGCATATATATATATATATATATATATATATATATATTTAATCTTTGATATATTTATAAGTTTACTTATAATTAAAAAATTAATAAGAAATAATAAAACACCTTTATTTTATGCAAAATCTTAAGTAAAATATGTTGGTTAGATTCTTGTTGATACAATAAAAATATATATTACTTGAATATCTATACAATTTCATTACTTAAGATAGTCCAATTTATTACAAAGGCCAGATTTAGGATCTAATCTTGATCTTGCAATAAAGTAACCATACCTTGTTACCCACATTAAATTGTGGTTTTTTCTTGCAAAAAGCATCTACATAAGACTTTTGTTGTTCTTGAGTTTCTTTTAACTATGCTTTTATTGTTGCATGTAGCTCTAATAAATAATTTGTCAAATCTTCTGCCACAAGATTATCAACTTTTGAAAAGTCAAAAATATCAAGTTGTGGATGATAATCATAATTGACAAAGAAAAGTGTTTGTTAAATAGAAGAATGTGCCAAATTATTATACACAGAATCTATCAATGGCAAAAGAGTTGTCCAATCATCTTGATGATAATTAATTATATACTTCAAATACTACTCGAAAACTTGATTCACATGTTTTGGTTGCCTATTAATTTAAGGATGAAAGTCCAAAGGTAATTTTATATCTACTTTCAATATCTTAAAAAAGATTTTCTAAAATTATATCATTTTATTTGATATAATATCCTCTGACAATCTATAATAGCGATAGATGTTTTCAAGAAAAAGCTTAGTTGTTTCTTCACCTAAAATAGATTTTTTAAATGATATAAAATATGCAATTTTTATGAAGCGATTTGCAATCATGAATATAAAGTCATATAAACTTAAACTTAGAAGATTCATAATAAAATCTATAGAAACATAAGACCATAGTTGTTTTAGTATGGATAATAGTTGAAAAAGTCTATAAGATTAATAATGAAGAGTTTTTGATCTTGAAAAAATATCAAATGATTTTACAAAGTCTTTTATAGCCTATCACATTTGCGGCCACCAAAAATCTTTAGATATAAGCTCCAAAGACTTGTTGTATTGAAAATGTCCTACTACTGAAAAGTTGAGATATACTTAAAGGTAATATAAATGTGCTTCTTCTTTTAGAACATATAGTAAATTTTTAAAATAGAGTAAGTTTTTTTTGGACTCAAACTTAGATATATCTTTAGACAAATAGAAAATTAGAGTGTTAGTTGTAGAATTAGAATCTTGGTAAGTCTTGGAAGCAATTATCTTAGTTGATTTAGTATTTTTTTAGTTATTATTGAGTATTGAGGGATATTTAATAAGGTCAATATTTATATTGGCTTTCTATCTATACATATTATTTATAAGAAAAACTACAAATGTTAGTTAGTAGTTAGGAGAAGTATGAGAAAGAACCTCATGTCTTTTTAATTAGTTATATAAAAAGAAAGTTTTATAATAGATTTAAATTTTTTTTATTACTATAAAAATGATAAAGTTAGGAAATTATAGCCTTCAATTGATATTAGTATTATAGAACCATTATAAAAAAATTAGAATTTATTTAGAATTTTTTAAAGAATTTTTAGAGTAATTTCTAAGACTTTGGTAAAAATGAGTTTTACTACTTTGGGAGCCATTATGAAGAAATGAAGTAAGATTTGAAGGCTATAGAAGGTTCTTAGGCTGATTGCGTGTTTTTAAACACCATGGAGAAGAAAAAAAAATGTAAAATTATGGATTTTACTAGTAAAAAATAGGAGAACTAGGAGCTAGTATAGTCCTTGTTAGATGAGAGGTGCACAAGTCTCATTTGGATTGTAGCACCTTGAAGGTAGTTAAGAAGATAAGACTAAGGCCTCTTAGCCTATCTTAGGAACCATATATACTACTTGTGAGCCTTGATGAGGCTCG